CCTCCCCCTGATTGTTTACACCATACCTGTCTCGATTGAATTTTTTCCCTAACCACAATAGTTGCAAAGTGAATTGTTCACTTTGCACTAAAAATGAGTCTGCCTAAGCCAAAAACACAGTGTGACCAGACTTTCTCAGCGGTTATTACCAAACGTTGTGCTGAAATTTTACCAAATTGGATTTTGTTTACCAAATACGTGCAAATTCCGAGTTTTGAAATTTCTGGCTGCGCGCAGTCATTGTAGTCACGTGTTACACCCTTTTTGGCATATTTCATGGCGACAGCATGACAAAACCGTCAAATAATCATGTAAACATAATTTCTAACACTTTTCTTGATATGAAAGCTAGCAATATAAATGATATACAGGGTCTGACATTTATATTTTTCTCGGTATCCAACTGGGATACCAGCATTCAAAGTTTAGTATCCCCCCTGAGAATCCAGTATCCCACTTCTGGATACTGGTTACCGGTACCATAAGTATTATACACTGTCCCATCCAAATAAGTTTCCATAACTCTCGCTATTATTACAAATTGCAATAACAACAGGAGACTCAACAGTGAACAACTAAATAATTCATTAATACAATAAAATGCACATAATCCTTCAACAAACTTCTATATGCTAGTCCTCAATGAGATAAGACACGATACAGTAGTTCTTTAGCCTAGTTATATTCCAACTTTTTTTGGTTTTTATACTTTTTCAGAAGTCTATTAAACAAGGCACATTATTTTTTGAAATTTAAAAAAACTTTTACCAAAATTTTCCCAAAAATTACCAAATTTTACCTAAAGTATATTAATTTACCAAATCTGGTCACACTGCAAAAACAGATTTCCGGCTAAAAAAGAGTTTCGTTTACTGTGGAGCAGCTTCCTGAAAAAAGGTACCCCCTGATATGATACGAGCAGCAGTTGAGTATCAATCAGTAAATTGATTTTCTAAAATTCTTAAATATTATTTTAATCGACTGTAAATTTGCGTCGTCCAGGCGCGGGCCGCTAACGGCTTCGCGAGTTTTACTCGCGGGAGTGTTTGCGGTTTGCGCTTGGCCGCGGATTGCAGTCCGCTTTATTAGTTACAGTTATAAATATTTATCATATAATTATTTTGTTTGAAAATCACTGATTGTGAAAGGAATATAAAAGGAATTATAGGAAGGAATATAAAAAAGGAATATAAAAGGATTATAAAAAGAATAAAATAAAATAAAATAAAATAAAATAAAAATAAAACAATCCTGTATAAGCGTGGCGAACGAGAAATACGTACCTCCAAAGCAAATCAGTAAACCAAGTAATGACGCGTAGAAACAAAGTATTCAAATGAGAATGGGGGGAACCATAACCAACAACAATATGGAAAAACACTGCACGTACTGCATACAAATGCCAGCACTATCTTGAAACTACAGTGATCTAACAAACCAAATCTGCCACGGCTCCCCTAGCACTGGCTGCTGTGCAAGATCAAGTTGCGGCGGTTGAGGCTGAGCATTCTGCTCGCTAACATGAACATCAGAAACCACAACCACAGGCGAAACTTGCTGCGGTGGAACGTCGGCCGGTGCTTGTCTTTGGGCCATCTCTCCAGAGGCGCCGGAATATCGTTAATTGCGGGGGCAGATATTCATATATTCGTGTTCACAGACTGTAAAAACAATCGATTTCAAAAGAAATTAATTGGGCAGAACACGAATATATGAATATCTGCCCCCCCCCCAATAATCGATATTCCGGCGCCTCTGCATCTCTCTAAGATTTCGACGTTCGGAAGCAAGCCTTGCTATAGGCTGTAGGCCAAACAGCGCCGTTGGACCTTTTTCGTTCTTCCCTTCCCTTTCTTGTCTGGACCGTGCCTAATTCTTCCACGTACTAGCTTGTAAGACGGAACTATCCAAGTTTCTGCACATGTAACACCTACCAAGCGCACGTGACCTCTTACGCTATTGTTCCCTTACAGGGCTATTTCCTTATTCCTTTCGCTTCCGGTACGGTTTTCTTAATTTTTATGGCTAATGAGAATACTTAAAAAATACTAGAAGTAAAAAGTACAATTACTATTGTCTGTAGCGTGTAGAGAGGGGGGAGGGGACTTGTTCAATGGATTGACATACAAAAGACACAAAACAACACACGCATTATATATGTGCACCTAAGTTATAAGAAATACATTGCAAAAATATTGCTTATAAAGTAAGTAAGCCATAAACGAGAGATCCCTGACGCATTTAGAGGTTCTATTACCTATCCCAAAATTAAAATAAATCAGGAATAAATCACGTAAAATTAACAAAAGTTTGAAAGTAACGAAATAATTCACCACAAAATGAAAGAAGGAGGAAAACGTTCCTTCTTAAAACGACTTCGTTCCCCAAGTAAAAGTACTCCAGAAAAAGTTTACTCTGCCACATTTAAATCCTTATAAATGACTAAACTGTCTTTCTCGAAAAGTTTGAGTTTGAAATAAAATGATTTCAAGTTCTCGCATTGTAATAACTTTGCTTTCTTTTTATTTAAAAATTTTAATGTAATAAAAAAGGATAATCAATAAACAAACAATAAAATTATATTTTATATGCCGTCTTTTTTCATCTAAAATATATGCAACGGTCAGTACTAGTTTTAAAAGCAATTATAAAGCGAGCAATACATCAATATTTAAAACAACCTTAAAATACAAAACAATAGATACTCCGAAAATTGAAAGCATTTTGAAAAATTTATTTCCACGTTTCGACTAAACTGTAGTCATCATCATTTCATTTCCTGATGATGACTATAGTTTAGTCGAAACGTCGAAATAAATTTTTCAAGATGCTTTCAATTTTCGCATTATCTCTTGTTTTGTATTTTATCAAAATACTCAGTGGTTCCCGTAACTTAAAACAAACTTACCGTCGTTAACGTCGGCGCCTTTACCCCCTTTCGTTCCCTCCCACTTTCCCCCCTTTATTTTCTTCAAAGCTTTTGAAATTTACAAAATCTTGCAAAAATGAAATACATTTGCAAGAACTCATCAAATCAAGAAATGTTTGCAGTTTGCACTTTCGCTGTCGTCATGCAGTCGTTATAATGCAAATTTTAAATATGACCAATCAGTGTTCGCTATTCATGACAGTCCGCCATATTTTTGAGATCAGTGAGGATGACTTCCCACGAAACACCATTGGTGACCCACGCCCGCTTTCTGTGACGAACTAGTACCCTCGTTCTGGGCTTACGCCCGGAGCAGCGCTCGGCGTCGTTTACTGGGGAACTATATACGTTCAACTAAGCATGTGATATACATGAAGTGTCCCAAAAATCCCAAAACTATTGAAATAACGTTTGTTAGAATTTTTATGGCTCAGCACACTGCAGAACCCACAAGTGCTTAAAAGGTTGACATAAGTTAATTTTCAGGGTAAAGAAACTGTTTAAAGTGTATATGCAAGGAAAAATGAAAAATTTTAAATTTCGAAATTTGGAAAGAAATGACCTCCCTTAACTAGGTAAAAATATTTTTAGTTAGTAAAAGCGCTCTAAAAGTATTGAAAATGACCTAAAATGTACGACAAATACAGCTATTTTGAATCGTTACCTGATGAAAAAACTGGTACCGAAAATTCCGGCCTTGTGACGTATGCAGTGTGACACATCCAAGTGTTTACTTGAATGAAAACTACAAAATATCACTAATCGCAAGACAGTAGCTTGTATATTTTTCCTTAAAAACGCAAAAAATGTCCGATAGCGAATGCTTTGAATCACAGACAGATACAGAACAGCCAACAGATAACGAGGACGTTGTTGAGCCACAATCGTCTGTTGTACAGCCCTATCAGTTCGAGTCAGTTGCTGATCGTGACTAATGACTATGAGGAAGACGAAACAGGCGAAGACGGTCTTGAGGCGAGATTTACGAAAACCGTAGCTGTTAGTTCATGGTAAGTTTAACAAAGCAGTCTAATATCAAAGCGTTTCTCGAATTATTTATTAGCGTGTTTCGTTTAACACGTGAATTGATTTTAGGTGCACATTTGAGATTCTTGAATGTATGGCCAAATTTACGTACGATGGAAAAGACGCTGAATGTATTATATAGCAATGGGACTATCCTGTTATTGCGCACCGAACACTCGAACAGTATATTACCGGAAATCAACAAGCAGAACTCAAGACGGGCAAAATGAGTAAGTCAAATTAATTTCACTAAATTTTGGTCAGTTTTCATCAGTATTTTCTATATATATTCGCAATAATTGTATTTTGTAAGATTTTGAAACGTGTATTTTAATCTATCTATTGCTTTGAAACAGTGCATTCGTGAAAGTAATAACTCAGTCTCAGTGTTCGATTGTTAATGTTTAGATATTTTGATACCTTCGTGCAGTGGCGTATATCGGTGGATAGTGAGATGCATGGATATTCGGCGTTATTCGCCATGCTCGGATGTGAAAACCTGAAACCTCTAGACCGCTTCCAGCATGCCTGTATAATGAAATCTGGAAGAGGTGTCCGTCTCAAAGCAGTGGTGGCGCCAAGGGGCTGGCGGGGGCTAAAGCCTCCCTGTCGGGGAGTTCTAGCCCCCCCGTCGGGGAAAATTAATAGATTCGTCGGGGAAAACGGAGAAAAAAATTGAAGGAATTCCGAAAAACATGATCTTGTCGCCATGTTCGTTCTCCCGCGTATTACCACGTTAATTAATCATTCACGTTAAATTCGTTAATATTTATTCACTTCTGCACTATAGTACACGCGTTATGCAAGTTCGCTTACGTACCAGACATTCCAAACATTCTGCTGACGCAATGGTATTAATTTCACATGCATGGGTATTCATTCTGCTGACGCAATGGTATTGCAACATGCAGACAAAACTGTTTAGTCATCAATACATAAATATAGCACGCTAAATGACAACATTGTAATTACCTCATATTCTAAATGTAGCTTTCGCGGAGCATATATAAACGTAGCAATGTACACTTGCGCATTTTATGTAAATAACTCTTATAATACAGTAAAGATATTTCAGTCTATCTCGCTTGGCGCATTCAAGAGGACATCGACGACTTTCCACACGAAATAAGTGTTCTGCGCAATATTTCTACGTGAACCGGCAATCATCTCCAATTTGGAAATCGGAAAGCAATACTCGCTCTAAAAACGTATTTGGCTGTATTTGCTGGTTACGTATTCTTTATGGCAAAGGCTGTGCGCTTTAAAGTTCGTTGCACAGTTTGTCATCAGGTTTTTCAAAACGACTACGTTGGGAAACATACAAAATCTAAACACAAAGACCTTCACGCGTCTGGTCGTCAGGCACCCGTAACCATTGAGTTGGATAAGTCTGATACTCGTCAAAGTAAAATGGATGCCTTTTTCCGCTCAACTCCTGCCGACGACTCAAATTCCAGTGGTGCGAAAAAGAGAAAAATAGCCACTAGCGTTGAGATTACAACATTGTCTGAACCAGAGGAAGGTGATGAACCGGCAACAGACCATGGAGAGTCAATTAGAAACACTCAAAAAGGTAAATTTCCGTGAATATCTCCTTAGAAATAGATGACGTCCATACGTGTCATACAGTACGGAATAATTAAATGAATAAATAAATAATAAAGTGCGGCATTGAAACAATTATTACCCCTATTTTTGATCACATTGATTAACTTCATTTAATAGTTGCCATTTCTTTCAAACTCTTAGAACCTATTCTAACTGAACATCAAGAAAAAGAGGACATGATAGAAGAAAGTGACGGAACTGGCTCGGGTGGTGAATTGTCGGATGATGGGTCAGATGATGCTGATCCTGCTGGTCTTGGAGATATGATGAGCATAGGTATATATTTTCATTTTTAGATACTTTAAATTTTGACATAGAATATAAAGTTGACAATATATTGCACTTCCATAACTAGCAATGAATTATAAAAGGGTGACACAATTCCCAATACAGTACTCTATATCGAGTTTGTTCATGTTTTTTATTCATAGATAAATCTGATGGACAAAGTAATAGCAGTGGTGTACATGAGGGGTCTAAGCTAGCAACAAATTTATCAGGACCGAATGATATCTCTTTGACGAAAGATGATCAACCAGTGCAACCTCGAAAGATTAAATTCCCTTCTCATATAATTGGTCGACAGTACAGGTTATTTAATCCCTCTCTCTATGATAAATACTTGTGGTTGGAATACTCGGAATGTGAAGACGCTGTGTACTGCTTTTACTGCCGACATTTATTCGCCGAAAGAAAAGAGCCGACCTTTGTTACCCATGGTATGCGGAATTGGAAAAAGTGCTATGGAACGAAACCGAATAACAACAAATTGCTTCAACATCAAACCAGCTTTCAGCATGCTCAATCTGTTGCAGCTCACGCTCACTACCTGATTAGATTAGTTTTATTTACCCACAAATAATATTTACAAGTTGAATATTTAAGAATATATAAACGGGCTAGAGACCTCTGGAAATCCTGTTGGACTTTTAAGACGAGGCCCCTAT